TGGTCGGGTTAAAATTTGGGGAGTTTTTGAAAAATTGATAAAGGGATTTTCAGGCTTCCTTTTGGTGGGGGGGTAATGGACCCTGAAAATTGGGATAAGGGGGGGGGGGGGGGGTGGTATATTTCGTCATGTCACCTACCGTACTCATCGTCAAAGCTCATCCCTGTTCGACACATTTATCGATCAACACGAGAGGCAACGATGCGAGCGGCCAGCTAGCAGACACTTTTTTCCTATTTTTTTTTTCACGTTGAGACCACCGTTTTTTTTTATCTTTTTTTTTTTTACCTCGAGAGCCGCCTGACCGATCTCGGTCATCCCCTTGCCGTAAGACTTGCCACCGACGGTACACTTCCGGAAGTCCATCACGTTCTGGGTCAGAGTGCCCGTCTTGTCGCTAAACACGTGCGTGATCTGGGATGTACCGCATACAAATGGGAACACACGAGGTACGGTCAGCGTGTGCTGGGCTTGTCGCTAAACACGTGCATGATCTATGATCTGGGATGTACCGCATATTGTACACATGGAAATACAAGAATACAGTCAAGATGGTACGGGTCAGCGTGTGCTGGTCTTGTCGCCAAACACGCGCGTGATCTGGGAATGTACGGCATACATGTGGATACACACGAATACAGTCAACATGGTACGGCTCAGCGTGTGCTGGTCTTGTCGCTAAACACGTGCGTGATCTGGGATGTACTGCGTACAAATGAAAACACACACCACACGAAAACAGCAGTCCAGATGTTCCGGGTGAGCGTGTGCCGAATTTTGCGCCTAAACGCGTGGGTGATTTGGGATGTACCGAACTACTGTACCAAATCTGCTCATAAACTACAATTGTACTGGTACTAACGTTGCTGGACAAGATGTTGCCCGTGATTTTCTTCCCTACATGTATGCCGAAACATCGCACGCAAATGACCCCTGGCTTAACTAACGCACCTGCCCTAGATCTTCGTTGAGATTCATGGTGCGGACCCTGGAAGGGGTATCCGTCGCTTCGTGGTACATGTCCAGGTCTTGATCCATGAACCATGACTGTACCGCAGCAACCAAAGGAGGAGGAGGGAAGAGGCAACAGACGGGGTGCGTCAACAAGATGATGTCGGATCACAAAAACCATCATCTTGAGAAAAATATTACGGAAGGGGATGTACAACCGGGGGCGGCTACAATTTGGGATTTTGACCAAGCACGAATTGTTTGTTTGCCAGCGCGTCTACTAGAAGCATTTGTGTGTGCGCCTTATGATGGCGACTCGTGTAGCCCGTGGTTCTCCTCGTAGCCTACGACAAGGGCGGAGGAGGTGCTCTGGATAAGAGGCAACGACGTCCGTTTAACATGCACAAAACAGTGACATCAACCACACCCAGCTAACAACCAACAACGACTACAACAACACACAACAACAACGACCACAAGGTAAGAGGCTCTGGGACAAGGTGGAGAAGAACAGGAAGGCCTGGGTGCT